GTGATGTTGTTAATCATGGCGGAATAATCATGGCGACTGGACTATATTCGTAACATTAGGAAGTCCATATTTGTATACACTGTCGCACTACCAGTTAAGTTTAAAGACTCCGTAGTAAAATAAGTTTAATGAGGGTTCGGCGATATTGTACAAGACCACACACAACTTTTGTTTCGTTTCAAAGTGCTTAGATCGCTTGCAGCTACGAATCACCCATTGAAAACCAATGAGGTTTAGGAACGCCGTTAGACGTAATATTTAACATCTCAGTTTTATTGCAGAAGTGCCTTTGAATACATTTTGGAGCTCATCGTCTGACAATAAAGACGGGTTAACCTATTTTGACTAAACACAACAATCCTGTTGTCGGACTCAGTGTGGTTGACTCTGATCACGGAAATATGTCAGCTAAACCAACTTTTGACTGATTGTGTCTATATAGAGAATCTCACTCAAGTGTTTTCTGATATCAGTACTATCAACACGAGGTGATCAAGTTACAAATTTTACTTTTATGAACGAGTGTTGATATATTTGATATCAGAAGACACAAAGGGTGAGATTCTATACACAGGGGGCGTGTCACGCATAGAAACAGCTTTAGAAAGACATATAGGTATATAGACCCTATCCTAGTACTATATAAAAGAAAAAGGATGTAACGACGGAACCACCCCCTCCTCAATCTAAGTTAGATTTCACCACGTAAACTATTTTTAAGGCCCCGTCGAGGACTACGGATCGAAAGCAAGATGATTTTCCTACAACATGAGCTATAAATGGTCACAATCGGATCATTATTTCAAAAGTTATACGCCACGACTCACCGAAAACAGCTACCTCCGCAATTCCAAGCCAAAATCATGGATCACCCAAGACAGCGAAAACTCACCTTTTAAATTCGTTTATTAATTCCAGCCACGTTGACAGCACCTATGTAGGGCTAGATTCGATCGGCAGCGCCATTCCACGGGTCTAAAAAACTTATTGCAACATCTACAAATCATTTCCTCGACAGTAAGCAGGCATTTTCTCCAAAACCATCGGCAATCATACTCACTTGTCGGTCATAGATGGCCTTGACATTCAAGTGATCTGAGCAGATTCGCAGAAACGAAATTGGGCCATCCGATTGGTGGAAAATATAATATGCTGTAAGATTTTGACTGTTTGCTAATGGGCGCGAAATATGAACTTTGCAATTATCCTATATTTTGGATGATGTACGGAACAGTAAATTGTTTAGAATAGTTTTAGAGGTTGTAAAAATGCATTCGATATTGATTCATTTTCAGGAAATTACAAATTTACTGCTCAGGTCACTTAAATGTCAAGGCCATCTATGGCCGACAAGTGAGTATGATTGCCGATGGTTTTGGAGAAAATGCCTGCTTACTGTCGAGGAAATGATTTGTAGATGTTGCAATAAGTTTGTCATAGCATTATGACGTCATCACGTTTTGACGACATAGCATTATGAGTCATGTAATTGATGATGTCAGGGCATTGTACAAATTCTGCTAGGAGATATCGTTTGATCTCACACAAGCAATATCTCCAGTGGAACACAGTTTTGGATGATAAATTCTCGTGTTTCAAGCATTGCTGACAACAGACCACCGTGGTATAGCTGTGCTATTAGCTACTACTGACCGGCGCGACTTATCTGTACTATAACAGACAAAAACAGACCGTCATGGCACAACTGTAATATCATTCAGCGACTATAGACGTCAAGCTATTGCTGTAATATAGTCATGCCAATTATGGTTGTCACCCCTCTAAACCACCCCAACCCCTCCCCACCCCCTCCAATAACATTTTCTGAAGGGGTGACAACCATTATTGGCATGAGTATATTACTAAATACAGATCACAGCACCACCGTGGTATATTACTGTCTACAGACATCCGTAATAACTGTACAACTACAATGGTATAAATAAATCTAGATTGTTTTAATCAAAATTGGTCTATGTCTGTTCATGGTGGACTTCCGATGTTCTGCCAACACATGGAGAATTGCGTTGTACATGGCAATATTGACAGTTTCCACCGAGTCGTGTTAATGAGAGGATATGACCTTCTGATGTCCACCTATGTGAAACTAATGTACTCAAGTCAGCAGGTGCAATAACATGTACCTCATGGTAATTACTAAATGCAATCCGCACTGTCTTCACCTGTCAAATCACATCCCATTAGCTGTGTACTCTGGGGTCGATACTGTTCCTGCAAACATATTTAATATATAATTCCGTTAATATCAGGCCCTCGTTAGTGTGTATTCGTTTTTGTGGTTTCGATAAGTGGCGTAATCAGAAGATGTTTTTATCCTGGAAACAGTTTATTTGTGATCTTTGGAAACTATCAATTTACAGAGAGGCTCATTTAATTAGCCTCATTTAGTTAGGTTTGGTGGTTGAAACAAATATGAAATGGTTATTCGAAGGCGATGCATTTGATACTGGTATCACGTGAAGCACGTCTACACTTTCTCAGTAAAGTACAGATTCTAGTACTTTTCCTAGGTTGAGTTCCAACCGGGATTCAAACCCACGCTCTCAGAGTCAGACATCTAATCGCCAGCACACAAAGTCAGCGATCTAACCCACTCAGCCATCGCAGCTTTCGCTCTGTATTCACGGTTGCCATAGTTGTGTTGTAGAGCTTAAATTTGTGGTGTGTGTGCCACTGTTTTCAGCCTAGTACCTTTGGATAACATGTACACGCGTTTATATACTTTTGGCATCGCACAGTCTTTTATCCGACCGCATGTAGTCATATTTAGGTGTCACCTTTTTACGTTTGAAAACTGCATGTCATCTAACCAATGCATCGATTATTTATGTTTCATATGGACTTTAACTAGTGTCCCTGATTAAATTAAGAATTGGCGTGGACTTTGTGTACGTTCATTGGAGTATGAAACTTCACATAGTGAGGGCAAAATTGTTTGGCATTCTTGAAGTTGGTGAGTCAATAAGCATATATAACTTTACGCAAAACAACTTATAGTTCGTTGCAAAGTGCGACGTTTCGGTGTAGATTCTAACACTGTTATCAAGATAACAGTGATTGGAACAAAGTGATTAGAAGTACATATGCATCGTATGCTATGACAAGCAGCATATTAACAGATAATGCAATGCTCTATGCAATAAACGAGAAGTTGTTATCCATAAAATTCTTTATTGATTTACCAACTTCTCAGTCCATGAAGGTTCATATTCCAACGAACTTACTCAAAGTGAAAGTAATTTTTTTATGATTTTATAGCCATGTGTTATATTTGAGGAATGCAGTAGATTTACACAATTTCAGTTGTGTGACTGAAGTGTTGCCACAGACAGCACAACATCCAACTGCAACGCCAAATACAATATATAGTTCAATCTTCAAAGGAAAAGGGGCTGTGGGGTAGCCTAATGGTTAAAGCGTTGGCTCGTCACGCTGAAGACCCGGGTTCGAATCCCCACATGGGTACAATATGTGAAGCCAATTTCTGGTGTCCCCTGCCGTGATGTTGCGGAATATTGCTAAAAGCGGCGTAAAGCCAAACTCAGTCAGTCAGTCAATCAAAAGAAGAGGATGCATGAGTGCATGTATGCTCCACGTGCTCTACAGGAACATCTTCTGTTTCTCTGTAGGAACATCTTCTGTTTCTCTGTAGGAACATCTTCTGTTTCTCTGTAGGAATATCTTCTGTTGCTCTGTAGGAACATCTTCTGTTGCTCTGTAAGAACATCTTCTGTTGCTCTATAGGAACATCTTCTGTTGCTCTGTAAGAACATCTTTTGTTGCTCTATAGGAACATCTTCTGTTGCTCTGTAGGAACGTCTTCTGTTGCTCTGTAAGAACATCTTCTGTTGCTCTATAGGAACATCTTCTGTTGCTCTGTAGGAACGTCTTCTGTTGCTCTGTAAGAACATCTTCTGTTGCTCTATAGGAACATCATCTGTTGCTCTGTAGGAACATCTTCTATTGCTCTACAGGAACATTTTCTGTTGCTCTGTAGGAACATCTTCTGTTGCTCTGTAGGAACATCTTTGTTGCTCTGTAGGAACATTTTTTGTGACGCCGAATAGAATATACGTTCTTCAAAAGGGAGTTACATCAGTTTGTGCATGTTGAACTTGGTCTACAGAAACATTTTCTGTTGCTGGGTTACAACATAAAGATTCAAATAATACATGTACCTTCGATAGATGAAAAATGTGTCATACGACATACCTCATTAGATCAGTCATAGCGACGGCGCGTCGTAATACGTTTACGTCAAATACAGGACGTCATAATGGCCGATATGACAGACGTGAGAGGTTTCCAAAGCAATTCATTAACATGTGGCCTCATTCACCATGAATCTTTTGTCTCATCATTGAATAGGTGATTATTAATATATGTCAAATAGATACTGAGGTAGATCTACAGATCTGTGGACTGTCATATGTGAGTGAGTGACTGACTGAGTTTAGTTTTACGCCGCACTCAGCAATATTCCAGCTATATGGCGGCGGGCAGTACATAATCGAGTCTGGACCAGACAATCAAGAGATCAACAGCATGAACATCGATCTACGCAACTGGGATACGATGACATGTGTGAACCAAGTAAGCGAGCCTGACTACCCGATCCCGTTAGTCGCCTCTTACGACAAGCATGGTTTGTAGAAGATCAATTCTAACCCGGATCTTCACGGGTGTCACATGGCAGCTAATGACCGAGTTCATAGTTTGTATGTGCATTTCTTCATTACGATCAGTCAAAGCAAGGATGTTCTTGAAATGACAATTATCTGATTTATCCCCGTTTATGCAAAAGAGTCAATTTCAAGATTAACGGATCAGACAACATTGTCTTCTATATTTATTCAAGCTTGGGAATTCCCAGGGGTTCCCCTATAATGTGGACGAAGTCCGTCTGTGTTTCATTTCAATATAACTGTCTAGTGAAAAACTTCAAAATGTGTCGTTCATACTTATGAACGTCACATTCGCGGTCATGTGACCCGCCTCTGGTCCAATGGAAAAGCCGTGTATTCTTGTAAACAATAGATAAAAACGCGTATTCTTGATACGTGAGATAGAGGGAAAACACCGACACACGACTTCAGGTTTCTTTATTTCGCAAAACGCTGTATGCATGAAATGATTGAAGATCGACGGAAGCTGGTATTTGCCGAACTGTCAATCCTGGCACGACATGCCGCAACTCCATGGCGTAAGTTGATAGAACACATTGTCAGCAACATCTGTCAACTGTGTCACTGTGGACTGTAATGTGAGTCATGCAGATGTGTTAACTGTGTCTCTGTGGACTGTAACGTGTAATGCAGATCTGTGTCACTGGTCAGTGTATAGAGGGCCAGGCAGATGTGTCACAGGTTACTGTACTGTATGTCGGGTAGATGTGTCACAGGTTACTGTACAGTATGTCGGGTAGATGTGTCACAGGTTACTGTACTGTATGTCGGGTAGATGTGTCACAGGTTACTGTACTGTATGTCGGATAAATGTGTCACAGGTTACTGTACTGTGTGTCGGGTAACTATGTTACCTGTGTCACAGGTTAATGTGAAGTGTGTCGGGTAGATGTGTCACAGGTTACTGTACTGTATGTCGGGTAGATGTGTCACAAATTATTGTACGGTGTGAGGGGTAGATGTGTCACAGGTTACTGTACTGTATGTCGGGTAGATGTGTCACAGGTTACTGTACTGTATGTCGGATAAATGTGTCACAGGTTACTGTACTATGTGTCGGGTAACTATGTTACCTGTGTCACAGGTTAATTTGAAGTGTGTCGGGTAGATGTGTCACTGGTTACTATACTGTATGTCGGGTGGATGTGTCACAGGTTACTGTACAGTATGTCGGGTAGATGTGTCACAAATTATTGTACGGTGTGAGGAGTAGATGTGTCACAGGTTACTGTACAGTATGTCGGGTAGATGTGTCACAGGTTACTGTACTGTATGTCGGGTAGATGTGTCACAGGTTACTGTACTGTATGTCGGGTAGATGTGTCACAGGTTACTGTACTGTGTGTCGGGTAGATGTGTCACAGGTTACTATACTGTATGTCGGGTAGATGTGTCACAGGTTACTGTACGGTGTGTCGGGTAACTATGTTACCTGTGTCACAGGTCAATGTGAACTGTGTCGGGTAGATGTGTCACAGGTTACTGTACAGTACGTCGGGTAGATGTGTCACAAATTATTGTACGGTGTGCAGGGTAGATGTGTCACAGGTTACTGTACTGTGTGTCGGGTAGATGTGTCACAGGTTACTGTACTGTGTGTCGGGTAACTATGTTACCTGTGTCACAGGTCAATGTGAAGTGTGTCGGGTAGATGTGTCACTGGTTACTGTACAGTATGTCGGGTAGATGTGTCACAAATTATTGTACGGTGTGCCGGGTAGATGTGTCACAGGTTACTGTACTGTATGTCGGGTAGATATGTCACAGGTTACTGTACGGTGTGTCGGGTACATATGTTACCTGTGTCACAGGTCAATGTCAAGTGTGTCGGGTAGATGTGTCACAGGTTACTGTACAGTATGTCGGGTAGATGTGTCACAGGTTATTGTACGGTGTGCCGGGTAGATGTGTCACAGGTCAATGTCAAGTGTGTCGGGTAGATGTGTCACAGGTTACTGTACTGTATGTCGGGTACATGTGTCACAGGTTACTGTACTGTATATCGGGTAGATGTGTCAGAGGTTACTGTACGGTGTGTCGGGTACATATGTTACCTGTGTCAGAGGTCAGTGTGTCGGGTAGATGTGTCAACTGTTTCTCTGGCTACACTGTAGCATGTGCGGTAATGTGTCAACAGCGTTACAAGACAGTTTCTAGTGTTTACCGTTGCCACTGCTCACAGTAAAGTGTGTCAGGTAATGGGTTTTATCTGTAGATGTGCGTAGGCAGCTTTGAAATGCACTTTGTGTGGAATATGCTATTTCATTTCCTCGTTGATAAAAATCATTTGCTGCCAAACTTGGAACCAGAAATATACCACAACAACAACCTCCTGAACTAGTCAGAGACTACTCGGTAGATATTAACTATCATATTTTCACGCAGACATGCATGGTGGCACTACGTATCATGATTTCATGAAATATGTAGTGTATTCCGTTGGAGGAATCATGCTGCCATATTGACAAATTGGAGCAATAAGCATGATGCACGGTGTTCTTGTAGAAAGGTTGGACATCCACCGAGAAATTGACACATTTAATTACAAACAATATCTTAAGTAACAAACAATATCATAGGCGACACATACAATATCAAAGGTGATAATCTTTCTGGAAGATCTGCAAAAGGACATGCAGCGATTGGATTAATGTCTTTAGTCTGACTCTTTGGTTCTGTTGAAACGTAGCTTTTTCACAAAATCTGTTATTCGTATATAAATACCAGAAACGTGCTATATATCTGTTCAGCCACCCCGCTGTTGAATGCTTCATTTGCTGTGCCGAAACCAAAATCTTAAATATGATCCTTAGTTTTGTACAGAAATCAAAGTTGTTATTATTTTGAAGACGTTGAAATGAATACATTGTATACCTTGACTGGCACATCGAAATAAGTCCCTTGGAATGGTGAACCACAATCTGTGACGTCATAGGTCCCGAGCTCTTTGACGAATAGTTTCGCCTACATTGTTCGAAGGTCCAAACACGCTGAGTTCTCATATGCACCACGTTGACGTAGTACAAAGTAGCCATAGCGCTACGACTGTCGTAAGTCTATGCGAAGGTATAGGAGATACGACCACCTTAGTGTCACGATCGTACAAAGGCATCCAAGTGTTGACGGCTTTCAAACGTGTGAATGGTCATCCGCGGGAATGGCACAGAAGTCATTAGACAGGCTTTGGCTCATTTGGAAGTGTTCCCGACGCAAGACTGACTGACTGACTAAGTTTGGTTTTACGCCGCTTTTAGCAATATTCCAGCAACATCACGGCGGGGGACACCAGAAATGGGCTTCACACATTGTGCCCATGTGGGGATTCGAACCCGGGTCTTCGGCGTGACGAGCAAACGCTTTAACCATTAGGCTACCCCACCGCCCCCTTCCCCCCGACGCAAGATGTGTCGTCATTTACGAAATACGTCATCACTGTCATTACGTAATCGACATCGCTGACGTCATATATATCTTAATATCACAGCCTTGTTTCAGGATGCATGTGGCGTAATACAATCTAGGCCCTCACAAAGCAACCTAAGCGCCATAAGTTACGTCGAAGTATGGGTAATAAGATCAGATCGCTTTGTGCAAGAGGGCTTAGATGTCGTTCAAGGTGATCGTAACTCCGATACCTTAACATAGACTTACGACTGTCCTAGCGATGATGTTGCTTTGTATAACGGTAAAATGGCCCCATTCCACGAGACGATCTTTGCTCTACGACGGTCGAAGCCAGTAACAAAGTATGGGATTTACGGTTATCGTAGCGCAAATATCGTACTGTGCAACAAGGTCCTGGTGTACAAAACAACCCAAGACTGTCGTAAGTCTCTATTACCTTACGATTATTTTAGCGTCAAAATCAATATGTACAACGCCATCATGTCCCGTTGCACAAATCCATCTTAGCACTAAGATCATCGTAAGTCAAATACTAAAACATCGGCTTACGGTAGTCATATCGCTAAGATCACTTTGTGCATGTGGGCCGTGGTCAACTTGCATTACATCAAAGAGGCCGTGACTCAGTTCCTCTGAAAAGTGGTATGTGTGACGCAAAATAAGGCTTTCAAAACTCGTCATCCGACGACTGGTCGAGGAGCATGATATCATCTGGTCGGGAAACGCTGGGCTGTGGACAGAAAATATAAATGCATTGTGTAATTGTGATTAGTAAACAATTCAAATACATAAATACTGAAGCCATCGATTGTACACAGGACTGTGTTTGCAGTAGTCATGCCAATATCTCCGGTGGAACCGCTAATACACATATCAATGGAAGTAATTATAGACCGGAGATACTTTCTTTGTACAGTATTCTGATTGCAGGAAGGGAGACAACTGCTGTCAAGCGTGCTCGTTATATCAGAAGGTATTGTTAAATATTTGGACTTATTTTCTCGTATGTACAATGGCATCTCCCTACAATTGTTTCATTACCTCAAACATTTATGGCACGAACAGAGATTAATACAAAGTGTCACATATACGATGAAACTAGATCTAGTCTAGCAACAGATCAATACAAGGAAATCGATAACGATATAATAGCTCTCGGGCTGCCTTAATAGTCATCGCCATGCTTGACTGATTATTGAATGTTTGTGGTGATAGTCGATACTAGGACAAGGGATGGGCACCCCTTGGGGCGGGGTACGGGTAGGAGGGAGCTGGATATAGGACAGACAGGGGGATGAAAGGGGTGGAAGAGACATCGGACTGGGATTGGGTGGGGTAGGGCTACGGTTGGGGAGGCGGACAGGGAACAGTAGAGGGATATGGATGGAGAAGAGGCGAGATAACGGTAGTGTTGTATGTAGGATACAGGAGGAGATGGACATGGGTGGGAGACAGGCGAGCTTGGGATGGCGTTAGGTGTTGGATGCAGGAAGAGATGGACATGGGTGGGAGACAGGCGAGCTGGGGATGGCGTTAGGTGTTGGATGCAGGAAGAGATGGACATGGGTGGGAGACAGGCGAGCTTGGGATGGCGTTAGGTGTTGGATGCAGGAAGAGATGGACATGGGTGGGAGACAGGCGAGCTGGGGATGGCGTTGAGTGTTGGATGCAGGAAGAGATGGACATGGGTGGGAGACAGGCGAGCTTGGGATGGCGTTGTGTGTTGGGTGCAGGAGGTGATGGACATGGGTGGGAGAATGCGAGCTTGGGGCGGCGTTGGGTGTTGGATGCAGGAGGTGATGGACATGGGTGGGAGACAGGCGAGCTGGGGGTGGCGTTGGGTGTTGGATGCAGGAGGAGATGGACATGGGTGGGAGACAGGCGAGCTGGGGGTGGCGTTGGGTGTTGGATGCAGGAGGAGATGGACATGGGTGGGAGACAGGCGAGCTGGTGTGGCGTTGTGTGTTGGATGCAGGAGGTGATGGACATGGGTGGGAGAATGGCGAGCTTGGGGCGGCGTTGGGTGTTGGATGCAGGAGGTGATGGACATGGACATGGGTGGGGGAGACAAGAGACAATCAGAGCTGGGGGTGGCGTTGGGTGTTGGATGCAGGAGGAGATGGACACGGGTGGGAGACAGGCGTGTTTGGGATGGCGTTGGGTGTTGGATGCAGGAGGAGATGGACACGGGTGGGAGAATGGCGAGCTGGTGTGGCGTTGTGTATTGGATGCAGGAGGAGATGGACATGGGTGGGAGAAAGGTGAGCTGGGGGTTGGCGTTGTGTGTTTGGTGCAGGAGGTGATGGACATGGGTGGGAGAATGGCGAGCTTGGGGCGGCGTTGGGTGTTGGATGCAGGAGGTGATGGACATGGGTGGGAGACAGGCGAGCTGGGGGTGGCGTTGGGTGTTGGATGCAGGAGGAGATGGACATGGGTGGGAGACAGGCGAGCTGGGGGTGGCGTTGTGTGTTGGATGCAGAAGGAGATGGACACGGGTGGGAGACAGGCGTGTTGGGGTTGGCGTTGGATGTTGGATACAGGAGGAGATGGACATGGGTGGGAGACAGGCGAGCTGGGGGTGGAGAAGGATGTGGGTGGAAGTGAGATGAGCCATGAGTGTTGGACTGTGAGAGAGGAGAGGGATGCAGCATGGAGGAGGAGAGCGAAGGGGTGGTGTTTGGCGTGAGACAGTGGGGATGGGGGGAGTGGGCTGGGGGGAGTGGGTGGGAGAAAGGTGCGCTAGGGTGAGGACTGGGGGAAGTAGAGGGTTCTGGTCCGGAGTGAACTTGCTAGGGGTGGGGTTGAGAATTGGACAGGGGAGAATAGGGGCAAGGGAGAGACGGACTGGGGGTGGGGGATAGGTGGGTTGGGGTAGGATAGGAACATGAGTTTGGGTGAGCCAGGGTGGGTTGTTGGACAGAGAGAAAGAGAATGACAAGAGTGGAGGAGATGTGGTGGGTTGTACAGGAGGATAGGAGACGGACAAGGATTGTAGGGATGGCGAGCGATGGGTTAGGTTGGGATTAGGATGGTTGGTTTGACTGATTTGCTGTTTAACGCGGCACTCCACATTCCAGCTATAGGCGGTGGTCTGTAAATAATCGAGTCTTGACAAGACAGTCCAATGATCAACAGCATGAGCATCGATCTACGCAGTTGGGATACGATGACATGTGTCAACCAAGTTAGGGAGCCTGACCACCCAACCCCGTTAGTGGTCTCTTACGACAAGCATGGGTTACTGAAGACCAATTCTAACCCGAATTTTCACGGATCTGGATCGGGATTAGGAACAGTTAGAGAAGAGGTACAGGGACGCTATGGTAGTCGAGTCAGGGGTCGGTAATTGACAGAGGTGAGGAGAAGGACATTGAAGGGAGGGTGACGAGCCATGTATGGATCTGGGCGATGGACTGAGTTGAGGCGCCTTGGACGACTGGAGCCAGGTACAGGAGGAGAAATAGCAAAGGAAGCGTCGTAAAATAATCTCCACAGTCCCAGAAAATGTATTCTCTAATTCTGTGCGAGCTTCATGTTGCCAAGGAACGCTGGAGGCAGAGCCTCCGTATTGCAACGATTTCTTATATCTGTTAATTCAAGAATTCAGTAACTAGAGGCAATGAACCTTTTCTTCACGAACGAACAGATTAAAGTGGTTGCTTCAACTTTAACCCATGTTATGTTAAAACTGAGACAATATAGGTCTAATTATAAAGAAACCATGACGTGGTTTTGCTAGGATATCTCTCTCGAAGCTGCGAATCTGGAAGCTGAAACCTTTGACTTTAGTGATTTATCCATGCTGAAACTGTCCAGTGCACAGTGGGAATAATGATAATAATTTACGTACATAACTTAATAGTGTTTATACATGTGATGATGAAGATGATGATATTACACATTCTCATATAACAATCAGGTCATAATCATCAATGAAATGTCACTTACAGCAAAGGTTTCATTATCATATGTTATTGCATGTAAGTTTACATTATGTCATAGATAATATAACAAACAGTCGTTGCACAGAAAAAAAACAAAAGAAGTAGAAACCCGTCCTTCCAACTCACAAAAACCCGTCAATGTCATAAGTATGTAAAAAAACTTATCAATATCTTATATTATATATAACTGTATGTTGCTTACAAATGCTTGTGTTTCAACAGGTCTATGTTGATATAACGATCACGGGTTTAATTAATATGGACCATAAGTTGGGAGATCTATTTTCAAATTTAATGGTGAAAACCGCTCATAGCCATTTTGAAAATCAATAATTTTTAGAATTATTAGAGAAGCAAATCACGCATCTGACAGTGAGACGAAAGAAGCATAGTGAGTGCAGTGATAGTGTAGCGAATAGAACCGTAGAAGGAATGTTGCACAGAATGTGTGCGGGAAGGTTTTCAGTTGTATCTGTTTGGGGTGAGTGTAGGTGTTGACGTTGTTGGTGTCAAAGTGATAGATAGTATCCAAGTTATGTAAAACATTTGTCACATTCATAACGACCGGCAAAAATGTTTGGTGCGGGTTAAAGTCAGGTCAAATTGTCGTCACATTCAATGTGACCAGGCAGCCCTTCTGGTACGCTTCAAGGTCATGTCAAATTGTCGCCACATTCAATGTGACCGGACAACTATTTCTGGTGTTCTTCTAAGTCAGGTCAAATTGTTGTCACAGTCAATGTGACCGGGCAACCATTTCCGGTGCGCTTGAAGGTCACGTTAAATTGTCGTCACATTGAATATAATCGGACAGCTTTTTCTGGTGCGCTTCAAAGTCACGTCAAACTGTCACATTCCCAACAAGCAGGGAACCATTTCCAGTGTGCTTTGTTTCGGTTACGGTGAATTGTGTCTCATCAGGTGTCATCACTGAATATGTAAAGTTACTGTCTGGTAACCTGTCTTGAGAACACATTTCTTGTCCATGCAGGGCATCACACGGATTTGTGTTCAGTTTCAACTAGTTGACACTCGTACTTCTGTTACGATTCAGGGTCCGGACCCACAAAGCTTTCGTAGCGCTATGGCATTCGTATGCCTATGACAAACTATAGAGTTACGACAGTTCGGAACGTTACGAACGCTTTGTGGGTCGGGACCAAGGGCTAGAATGCATCCGCTGTTCTCCAAATACCCCAACATACTACTGACATGGAAATCAGGGGATTACTGAGTCTAGCCGAGCTTATCATACACACACTGTGAGTATCATATCAAAACTTGGGATTGCGAAGCCCAGCACGTCTTTAACCACCTGTCTGTCTGCTACATATACGTCATACGGCGTATAGTGACAATGAGCCCACAATACTGATTCGTTGATTTGATAAAAACACACCAAATAACGTGTACTTTTCATGTATAACGAGACTTGTAGCCTAAACTGTTCAAGATCAAAGTTATTGTAGATAAGGCCTTCGGCCCCTATACATAGTATCGTAATGACAGGCAAAGTATGGATAGTGCAAAATAGTGAAGAGCATCATTAAATTGTGAAATTAGTTCCAAGAGAAAGCAGACTCTTTCTGAATGTCAATGAATGTGTTAAAAACAGGGCTAATTTTACATGAACAGATTCGTCTTATGATGATAAAAATCTGATAAGTGATAAGTAGGGTGACAAACTTTGTTCTGTGGAATATACCCTTTTCTTAAATCGCCATGTGCATCATCCATACATAACAGATAATACACGTCTTCGATATCCGCCATACATATACGGCAA